ACAGAAAGGGAGGGAGGGAGGGGCTGAAGCAGCCCTGCCTCCTTCTCAGGGAATCACAGGTTGCTTCCTAATTAGCCAAATGTGTAAAAGCTAAATATTGACATTGCATTGCAGTTCCCTGCGTCTTGCCATCACATTGCATGCTATTAACCTACATAGTGTCAGGGAAAGGAGCATCTGTGTGTGCCTTGGCACAGGCAGGCCTGAAGAGACAGGAATTCCCCCTTGCAACGCTGCTGGTGGGACCTGAAGGAGCTGGGAAATGGATTCCCCTCTGTGGCTGGAGCTGGGGAGAGACAGAGAAGCTCGTTGTGCTTCCCTACAGCATAAATCACCCACCCTCCTCTTCCTGAGCACTGGGCTGTAGGGAAGAACTGGTTCCAGCTGGGAGGGGCTCACTGCCCTGTCTGGGAGGGAAGTGCAGGTACCTTTGTTCCTGTGCTGGTGGATTTGGGAGTGATGGTGAGTTTCTGGCCGTGTGTGGGCCACAAGGTGGGATCTGTGCTGCAGCTTGATGCGTGATGAGCAGGGGCTGGAGCAGGGCTGGCATCTGTGGGAGCTGCTTTCCTCCCTGCAAACTGCTTCATGTGAGTCTCAGAGTGCCTCAGCAGCCTTTGCCAGAGCTGTTATTTGTGGAACATCCCAGCTGCTTGGCTGAACACAGACATCATCCTCTCTGAGGGGCTGTGGAGGGAGTGCCCTGCTGAGAGATGGGGCTACAGAGAGGGCAGGGCTGATGGAGCCCAGCTGCCCTGCCTGCCATGGGACACAAGGAGGCCCAGCTGCCCTGCCCGTGCCACTGCTGAGCCCTCACATGTGTCTTCATGCAGTGTGGCTGGCTGCAGAGGAAGGAGATGTCTCCCCTCCTCTCCTTCTGCATGGGGAAAAGGATTGCTGGCATGTAGGGATCTCCCTCAGCTACAGGGTGCTGTCAGTGCCTCACCTTTTTTTGCCTTCCTTTTGGCTGCCTGGCTCAGGGAAGTCCTGCCAGCATCTGAAAGGCTTCCTGGGTGTGCACAGCCTCGTGCAGCTGCAGCAAAGAGCAGCCTGCTGAGGATTCCTGGTGGGATGGAGGGGAGATGGAGCCAAGCAGCTCAGCACATCTCTGCTGCCTCTTGGCTGGGGCAGGCAGAGCTGTTCCCTGCCAGACTGAAGGCCTTTGTCACAAGCAGCTTGTGAGAGCTTTGGCAGCACTTTAGGCAGGAGAGAAATCACAACAGAGGGCTGCTCTGGCATCCCTCAGCCCTGGCTCCATCCCCTGGGGGCTCCCCACCCTGCAGGGGCTGGGCAGGGCACAGCTGGGGTGATGTGCCAGAGCCAGGCAGAAGGGACAGCTCCCAGCCCTGCTCCCAAATGTGCCCTGCTGGCAGACACTGCCTCCCGACACTACACAATTCCAGGGCTCCCTCTGCCCTGCCAGCACAGTGGGAGCTGCTGTCCTGTGCTGCTGCTCACTGGTGGGAGTGGGAGGGCACTGGGAAAGGTTACTGGTGTGTCCTGGCCATGTAAGACAAAGCAGCCCTGTGTCTTCAGAAAGAAAATGCTGGAGAGCATCAGCTGGTGTGAGACAGCTCTGGCCCAGAGCCCTCTCCCTGCCTCTGGAGAGGGTCTAGGTCCAGGTGAGGAGCTGAGTTTGTATAAACCATCCCACAGAACGGCACAGAGTGAATTTGTATGACCTTTAACTGTGAGGATGGTTTGTTTTTCTGCAGAGGTGTGTGTCTATTTATTTTATGGTGGGCAGCAGGGTGCTGTTGACTCCTTTTCCCTCCTGGAATACTGCTGCTCCTCAGCAGGAATGATGAAGGCTGTGCACAGCTCCTGACCATGGGCAGAGCTGCTGCTGAGTGGATCTGCTCTGCCCAGGGTATTTTTTCCTCTGGAACTAATGTGATTGCTGAGATCCTGCTGGCACTACAGATTCCCACTCCTAGGCCAGGCCAGCTAAATAACCCTCCCCTTTCAAAGGCTGTCAAAGCTGTAGTAATTCTTATTAGGCTGGTTTGAATCATCTCCTGAAAAGGTCTCACATCACCACTGAGCACCAAACTGTTCTGTATTCAGACCCCAACCACCCAGTCTTCTGAGCCAGACCATAACATATGCAGGGGGAGGCTCCAAGGAAATATTAAAGATGTTCTGCAGTGCTGTGGGTGAAACTTGACTTCTCCACCCTCTGTGCTGTGCACATTTCAGAGTGGAACAAAGGACTTTGTGCGGAGCAAGGATGCTCTGTGGTGCTGATGGATCCCTGGGGAGACACCCTGGATTCCATCCCCTGGGATGCTGGGCAGTGTTGGATGTTTCCTTTGGGAATTGGCCAAAAGTGACTGGCCTGAAAACCTTTGCTTTGAGGGAGGCTGGAGTAAGCCAGAGCAGCAGCCTGCCCTGCAGTGCTGCTGCTGCTGTGATGTGCCATGAATGGACATTTCTGACTCCAAGCTGGGCCCTTGAGTACAGCCTTTGTCCACATTCCCAGCACCAGACCTGGTGGGCCTGTCCCAGGAGAATTAGTGAGTCCTGAGCCCCCAGGCAGAGAAAATGAACACTTTCCTCTCCAGGCTTCTCTGGCCCTGGGCAAACAGGTGATGTGGGAGGAATCTCTCTGACTCAACACTCACTGCTTTTCCCATGGTCCTGCTGGCACCTACCTAGGACAAAGAGGGAAATTTCCTTCCTCCCCAGAGAGCTGAATCAAAGGATTTCAGCCAATGCACACTGCCAGGAGCTTGCCACAATCAGTGATCCTGACCTGTGTGTGTTCTGGTGCACTGCCCAGCCCCTCCCAGGTGGGTGCTGCTGCATGGAGGGGGTAGAGGTGAGTCTGATCCAGTGCTGGAAGCTCCCCAGCAGAGCTGGTGAAAGCTGGAAATGCTGTGCCCAGGAGGCAGGGACCTGTGCCTGGGAAGAGAAAGGCAGAGGATTTGTTGACACAGCTGCAGGTGGAGGCACAGTTGGTGCATTGCCCCTGGGATTTCTGACTTGCAGGGCTCCAAAACAAAAAGCAGAAGGACTGAGACAGACTTGATGTCCCCAGAGCATCCTTTGGTCCAAAGCAACTCCTCCTGTCTTTCTGGGCCAGCAGCTGGGTGACAGTGGTGACATGAGCTGTCTCAGAGCAGGTAGAGGCTCCTCTCATGGGGAGATCTGGAGGCCTCAGGCAGCAGGTTTTGGGAGGATGAACCCTCCCTGCCACTTCCTTGTGTCTGCAGAGGAGCTGCTGCCCTGAGCACGGCATCCATGAGGTTATGCAGGGGCAGCTGAGAGGCACCCCACGCCTGGAGCTCTGTGCTTAATCAAACCAATTAGCAATCTAATCTTGTTAACAAACCAAGATAATTGCAGCATTATCAAATTAGCCAGCTGTATGGAAATGCCTGCTTAATAGCTGATAATAGCTGGTGCTGGTGCTGGTGCTGGTGCTGGTGCTGGTGCTGGTGGAGGAGGAGGAGGAGGAGGAGGAGGAGGAGGAGGAGGAGGAGGAGGAGGAGGGCTGTGATCTGCGACTAATGGCTGCGGGAGGTGCACTCAGGCTCTGCCCCGGCTGCCCCAGCCCCGTGCGGGATGCGAGGATGGATGCCGGAGCGCTGGGGCTCAGCCTCTCCCAGCGCACGGTTTGTGTGGCACAGCTCTCCCCCTTTCCAGAAGGCTGGGCTGCTGTCAGTGGGAGTTTTCCCCTGCAAGGACCCTGCCCTGGGCAGAAGCAATGTCGGATTTCACACTGAGTTTGGCTGATGAGCTCCCAGTTCATGTTTTGCCTGTCCCTGCCGGCTCACCGGGCGCTCTCAGCCTCCCCAGCGCCGCATGAGCTCTCCGGTTCTCTCTGCCCTCCCGTGGCCAGGCTAAGCAGAGAGTTGGGGGTTTTTTCATCATAGGACTTCTTCCTTCCGTCCAAGTAACTTCTGAATCTTGCCTTCTTCTAGCTGCTTCACAGAGGTGACCATACAGAGGTGACCATATAAGGACCTACACAGCTGTGACCATATAAGGACCCGCTCCAGCAGATGCTCTGCCCAGTCTCGGCCAGGAAGCTCCCAGCATCTCCCATGGACCGTGCAAGGTGTCAATGCCACAGCCAGAGCCTTCACCCTGCTGTGTTTGTGGGTAGTTTAAGGTCTGGCCAGCTGGTGCTGCTCTCCAGATTGCTTTGCTCCTGCCTGGCCGTGGGGATCATTAGCCCAGCTCTCACACAGCAGCAGCAGCTCCTCTCTGCTCCCTCGGTGTGTGCACACAGACCAAGCTCCTCCTCCAGTCTGGTGCAGAATGGGACATTCTCAGCCAGCCTGGCACCAGCAGGGGCTGGGCAGGGCTGGCAGGCCCCCTTTGGGCATTAGGCTGGGTGATGCTCTGCCCTGCAGTGGGCGGTGGCAGTGCCTGGTTCTGCCATGCACAGTGGCCAGCAGGTGCCTCAGGCTGTGCACACTCTCTTCTGCTGACGTTTCTTGGCAGTTCCCGAAGTTTTGTCCCCAGCATTCAGCTGTACAAAAATTACAGGAACCCCTTGGAGCTGTGGCTTTATTGCCCTGTCTTGAGGCTTTCCCAGGCAAGATTCTTCAGCTGGATTTTCTCCACCAGCCCAGGCTCAGCACTACTTGGGGTTTGGGTCTGTGTAACCCCCCCTGCGCTCTCAGGGTGAGCCCCAAGCAGGGTATCCATAGGGAGCCTCTGCCTTCTGTGTCCCCCTGGGCAGGCAGGGTCAGTGCCCTCCCACAGCCCTGTGCAGCCCTGGCACTGCTCTCCAGGGTCCCTTGCAGCCTTCCTAAAGCAGCCTGGCATGTTTTGTTCCAGTCCCTTCCCATTGCTCTCTCCTCCTGGAGGCTGTGTGCCTCTGGATGGGTTTTCTCCCCCAAGCCAGCCCCTAACCACACTGCAAGTGTGAAGCCAGGCTGTTTTCATCCTCTTTCCCCAGAAGAAGAAATTCTGGGGTGAAAGCAGCAGTGGGACTGTGTGCCAGGGTGGAGAGAGGAGGTGAGGAAAGGAGTCACACATCACAAACACCCTTGAGAAAAGCCTCTTTTATTTGTGGAAAGAGCCGTGGGGAGCAGAGGAAGAGGGGAAGGGGCGGCACAGAGCACAGTGCAGCAGCTGTCACAGGGCGCTATTGGAGCTGAGCTGCGGTGGCAATGCTGAGATGACCCGCAGTCCATCCTGGAAGCCGGAGCTCACACTGAGAACGGTAGAGAAAGGAAGATGTGGGCGTTCACCCCAGCCCACGTTTGTCCACCAGGGGCCTGCCGGGAGGCTCTGGCAGCTGGGCACAGCCCCCGAGCATCACACCCCGCTCTGCACCGGGAGCAGCCGGGGCTCTGGAGCTCCTACCGTAGGAGACGGGGATGGAGGGTGGCTTGGAGAGGCATTTCCTCCCGCAGAAGGTGCGACAGCACTTCTTGCCGCGGGGGCAGTGCCGGTCTAGGAAGCACTGATTGGGCGGGTTGTGCAGGGCGCAGATGATGCGCACCGGGGGGCAGGACCAGGCGCTGCCTGCAGGAGACGGGACCGGTTGGCTCCGGGGCAGCACTGGGGAGATGCTGCCCGGCAAACACCCCTCTCCCCTCCCATAGGATCCATGTGAACACGGCTCCTTCGCAGCCCCTGAGCTTTTCCTCCCCTGCCTCATCCTCGGACATCTCCTACCTGTCGGCAGCTCTGCCCAGAGGATGAGCATCCCCACCAGGAGCAGGGCGGCCACCGCCTTCATGCTGCCGTGTCCCCGAGGCGTGCGAGCGTGGGCGGTGCGGGACACCAACATTTAAACCCTTGGGCAGGTCGGGGGTGGGGAGCGGGCCGGTGTTGGTGCCTCTTTCCTCTGCCTGTTGCGTTGTGTTTTCCAGAAAAGCCTCTTGCGCAAGGTTCAGATGTGATTGTTTGATTGCTCAAAAAGCGGCTCTTGTATTGCACAACTCGCACCTAGGGCAGAGGGACAAGCCAAGGGACATGTGCCAGGGCATTGTCCACCCTAACAGGCAGTGGAGCTGCTTTCTCCTGGGCAGGTGTCTTCTCTAGGTATCCTTTTTCAGGAGAAACCCTTGTGGTGCCTGTGTTCTCCTCTGGGGTTCTGTTCAATGGGTTTCCCTCTGTACTTTGCTTGCAAACCAAACCTTACAGCATGATCCAAATCAGCATGAGGCTGCCTGTGCCTTCCCAGGGATGATCCTTCAAGATTTTTCTCAGAGGTACCTTGTCCCAGCCCCAAATCCTCCTTACTCCTGCCCCACTGGGAGTTTGTGTAGGGAAAGCAGCTTTGGCTCAGCCCAAGGTGAGTCTTTCCCAAGCTCTGGGGGGGGTCACCTGAACCCCAGTATCTTCTCTGGTGCCTTCTGCCATATAGGAAGCAGGCTGGTGCTGGAAGAAGGTGGCTGATCCCCCTGGGGTAGGATAACCCACTCCTCACAGACCTGTCATCAGCCATGATGCAGCACAAGGACAGCTTGATGGAGCCCTGACTCTTGATGGCTGTGAGGATTAGGGGCTGTATTCCTTGTTTGGATGGCAAAGGTCCCAGCACCCATTCCTCCCTCCCAAGGAAATTGTAACCCTGCCCTGGCCTCCAGGTAAATCTGTTTTCTTTAGGTGCCCTTGGGCAATGGGAAGTTACTCCATTTCCCACCAATTGGTCAATGTCCCACTCAGCTTGTGTAAGGGGTTCCTCAAATATTTCTGTGGGACTTCTGTGGCTGGCAGGAGCCCAAGCTGTCCTGGAGACAGGCTCTGGGAATGCCTGGGTAGGGAAAGGCTCCCACAGCCAACCTCCCCCAGCCCTGCAGAGGGCAGCCGTGATCTCACAACCAGGCAGGGACAAAGAGCAGCAAAAGCTCAGTATCGCCTCTACTGGTCTGGGCAAAAGCCCATTATCACCTCTACTGCTCTGTGCAGCCCCTGAGCCCCCCAGAACTGCACTGATCCAGCCCCTGGAGCTGCCACTTTCCATCCAGGGCATGGTGGATGTCTCACTGTGCCCTTTCCTGCTCAGACTTCCATTCCCAAGTCACAACAGGCCCCGTTAACTTGGCCTGACCTAACCTGGTATCTGTTAATTACTGTCCAATTTCCCTGTGGATTCTGTGGCTGCAATTAGCTCTTTGTGAAGTCATTTATTAAATAACGTGCAGATGATATAGCCAACCCAAAAAGATTTTCTGGCCTGTGCACCAGCAATGTAGCACTTTTGATGAGAAATACAAGCACTGGAATAATTTTTAAACAATCCATTGCCATTCAGCTGCTGTTGGGGCTGAAGAGGGCATGGCTGTGCTCACAGCTGGTGCCAAATCTGGCTGAGGTCATGTTTGGACCTCTGCCTCCAAGACAGGAGAAAATATCAAGGACCAAGGCTTGGATTAAGCTGCAGAGAAGATGGAAAGGACAAGGGAGGGAAACGAATTCACCTGAAGAACATTCTATAGTGCTTTATTCACAGCAGGGGGGAAGTGTGAACTCTTTTTGTTACAAACTCACAGGAAATAACCAGGACCCAGCATTTCTGAGCACAGGATTGCCTGCAGTCCTCATGTTGCATTCTGTTACCTGTGCAGCACCCATTGCCCCAGCACCCTCAGAGCAGTCCCCATCCCACATGGCTCATGCTCTTCTCCATGAAATGTCCCTCCTTCCAAAGCTGCAAGGCCCCAGTTGTGCAGTGCTTGAGGGTGTTGTGGCAGATGCTGCTTTTTCCCAGCCAGAGCAGGGCTCTGCAGTCTGTATTCCCTGGGGAGGGAAAGGAGGGACACCAGGAGCCCCTGATCCCCCAGCCTTACCCTGGGGGACAAGCACCCCAGGAACAGCTTGTGCCCCACCAGGTGATGCAAAGCTTTCAGCCTGATGATGAGCTCCGTCCATCCCGTCCGTCCCTGCCCGGCCCTGCGAGCTCCCCTCAGCCCCGGGCTGGCTCGAGCTGGCCGCAGCTCAGCCTCCGCCTCCGCCTCCCGCTCCCAAGCGCTGCTGTCTGGTGCCGCCTGAAAAATCTCTGCAATGATTGGCCACGCAGGCTCGGCACTGCTACCAGATAGGATCGCACGAGAAACGCCCCTTTTTGTACATGTATAGGGAGCTCCCTCTACATATACAAAGTGTGTACAGACCTTTAAGTGGGACCTGCTCTGTGCAGCACTCCCAGACACTTCCAGCGCAGGAAACCTAGAGCAAACCGTTAACTTTATAATAATTTCCTGTGTAGTATCAACGCAAACAAAAAGAGAGAACGGGATGTGAAAAAATGAGATTTTTTTTTTGTCCTAGAAGAGTCACAGAGAACACATGTAACACATGTATTTGTATTGTAATAATCTATATAAAGACAACAAACTATAAAACGTATTTACATAAGAACCTATATAACGGTTATGTATGGAAAGATATATAATTGTATTATATATATTCTATATATATAAATATTATAATATACATAAATATATAATATATATTTACAAAAGAGAACGACACTCTCTAAAACATATATACAGAAGACTAATGAAGAGCACTCTGTACATATCCAGAAGGATGGCATCCCCGCCTGGCATCTCCAGCAGTCCTGGAAGAAAAGCAAGCGACAGGGTCACCCCAGTGGGGCACACAGGGCTGTTTCCTGTGGTCCCAGGCTGGGACATACTGCCAGAGCAGCATTCTGCTGCCAGCAGGAGCTTGGCTGGGGCTGAGGTCAGGGACCCACATCATGGCCCAAAGCAAGCACAGGGCAGGCTGGGGTGGTGCTTGTGCCTCCAGAACCCAGGGAGCCCCCCTGGGCACCGTGTCCCTGAGCAGGACCACCCAGCCCAGCCCAGCCTGGCAGCAGGGGACCCACCCTGCCTGTGGACAGGGCATGGCCAGTGCCTGCCTGTGCTGCTGCTGCGCTCCATCTTCATCCCAAGACTATGTATGTACTTCTCCTCACCTTTCTCATCTTCTTCCATGTCTTCAACATAATCCTCCATTTCCACCTCCATCTCTTCCTCCATCTCCTCCTCCATTTCCACCTCCATCTCTTCTTCCATCTCCTCCTCCACATCCACCTCCATTTCTTCATCTCCATTCTCTTCAACATCTATAGCCATACTCTCTTCTCTATCAACTTTCATATCGATTTCCATCTCCTCCTCAGTGTCAGTGACAGCCTGCATAGGGAGCAGAACCTCAGAGTGGGGTCCCTGTCCCACAGCATCCCCACAGAGCTCCAGCCCAGCCAGGCAGTTCGGGAGTTTCCACCTCCATGGAATGGCACTGTACCTTCATTGGGACAAAAATTGGCATCCTGCAGGGATGGGTGGCAAGATCCAGGCTGCAGAGACCGTCCAGGACCGTAGACAGAGCAGACAGGACTGAACTGCACTCAAGCAGGGTGACAGTGGATGCAGGGGAGCGAGTGACGGGTTATAGGGCGGGTCAGCACCAGTTATAGGGCGGGTCAGCACCAGGACCAGTCAGCTCAAAGCTCAGCTAGCTGGTCTGATTTCCCTTTCTCCTGCGCTTCCTGCAGGAGATGCCTACAGGAAATTCAGGAATTCACTTACCGTACTGAGGGAGTGAATGTGAACCCTCCTGATTGCTTTGCCTTGGAATGGACCCTGAAGATCATCGTATTCCAACCTGAGCTACCTCCCACCAGAGCAGACAGAGTCCTGTCCCCCTGACCATGGATGTCCCCAGGGATGGAGCATGCACAGCTTCTGTGCACGGCCTGGACCTGTGACTTCCCACCCTCAGAGTAAAAACAACCACAAACTTCCCACCCTCAGAGGGGTGGGAAGTCTGTTTTCCTCAGAGGAAAAACAACCACAAACTTCCCACCCTCAGAGTAAAAAAACCCACAAACTTCCGACCCTCAGTGTAAAAAAAATCATAAACTACCAACCCTCAGTGTAAAAAAACCCATAAACTACCAACCCTCAGTGTAAAAAAACCCATAAACTTCATTTTAACCCAAAACAACCTGCTGCAGTTGAAAGCCATCCCCCCTTCCCCCATTCCCCCCCCTCCCACCACAGACCCTGTTGAACACTCTGTCCCCATCTTTCCTATGGGACCCTTCAAGCCCTTCATGGATGCAGTGTGGCCCCTCCATGGCACTCCAGGCTGATCATCCCCAACTCCTTCAACCTTTCCTCACAGCAGAGGGGCTCCAGCCCTTGCAGCACCCCCATGGTCTCCTCTGCACTCACTCTAAGAGCTCCAGGTCCTTCCTGTGCTCAGGACCCCAGAGCTGGAGGCAGGGATGGATCCTGGGGGGGCTGCAGCTTCATGGGGAGCAGAGGGGAATTTTGTGTTATCCCCTGAAAGGAACTAAATGCACTAATGAGGATAAAATCAAGAGAATGGAGCCTGCCCTGAGCAGAGTCCTGCTGTCAGGGGTGGTTCTTTGTGCAGGGATCCATCAGGAGCAGATCCTGGGTGTCCCTTTGCCTCAGCACCAACCCCAGAGCAGCTCAATGGGCACCTTGGCCAGGCTGTGGCTCCATGCCCAGCTCAGCTCTCAGCTCCCTGTGCTCCTACAAGCAGAGGCTCCAGAGCAAGCCCTGCCCATGGGGACACAGTGTCCATGCCACACTGGCTCCCTCCAGCTGGGGCTGAGCCTGCAGCACCCTGGGGTACCACAGAACAAAGATTTCCCCAAAGGATTTCTGGATCCTGCAGACAGCAGCTGCTGCAAAAACCAGATTCCACTTCTGACAGAGAAGTTTCTCTGCAAAAGCCAAAATCCACTTCTGACAGAGAACT